TGTGTGTTTTGCTATAGTGGCATTAAGGTCACTATCTTCGAACTAACGATGTCCTCAACTTTACCCAACAACATGGCATTTTCTTGTGCTTTTTTTGGTACCGTTGATCTTGGTTTTGTCCAGAAAGAAAGTTTGAATTACTCGAATACATAAGCCAATTGCCACTGTTGAACATTACCACTGATCACGCCAAGCGAACAATTGGTGTCAGTATTTAATGCAGATTTTTATGATACTCAATGTCATCTACGAGATGGTATATATCATAATCATGAAGATTCCTGGTCAGATGGATAACAATCCCTAGTATTTCTTGAACTTTTGCACTTATAGAGAAATAAATAATCTCGAGCGTATCTCTGTTGCTGCCTCTTCTACACATTCGGTTTCATTCTCCTGGATCTGCGCTACAAAACTATATATAGACTGACTGCTNCAATGTCATCTACGAGATGGTATATATCATAATCATGAAGATTCCTGGTCAGATGGATAACAATCCCTATTATTTCTTGAACTTTTGCACTTAAAGAGAAATAAGTAATCTCGAGCGTATCTCTGTTGCTGCCTCTTCTACACATTCGGTTCCATTCTCCTGGATCTGCGCTACAAAACTATATATAGACTGACTGCTTTATTCCCTTTCAATGGGTAAGAAATCCACATTTCTGAATACCTCTCGAGTAAAAATTAGATTTTCATCACTTGGCGAACTGTTACTCTTGGCGAATTGTGTGCTTATGGTGTTTCTTTGGGTGACGTTGCAATTGACAGCGATGAACCAATCAGCGTGTCACACACTCGATTCTCTCCGTATTTCGTCAGTTTTCATTCTATGAACGTTTTGCGACGGTTTCATTTTCGATATGTGAATATTTATTTAGTGATGCCGATGTTTTGTTCGTATTATTTGGGACAATTTTCACGTAGATTTGTCTCTTCGACATACTTTTAATGAGCGAATGTATAATTCAATGAAATTTTGTTTGCAGTTTTCAAATCTTGGTATATACACACAAGAGGCGAAGGTAATGTTCAGGGAACTCGTCGTGTTTGCGAGCGTTGTGGCGCTTGCATTGGCCAGTGACGTGTTGGAATTTAAGGATTCAGATTTCGAAGAGAAAGTCAAAGGACACGAAGTACTCCTAGTGGAATTCTTTGCACCATGGTG